ATAAACAGACATGCAATATCTTTGAAAGCGTCGTCGAAATTATTCAAGTGATTACATTTGCATAGTGATCCAATCTGTAGATTTATGTGTAAGAAAATATAAGCATGTAGGCATTAATTTTTAAATGTGTATCTATTGATATATTTATTTCAATATATCGCAATACATTATTCTCTTTCACAATCCTCTAGTATAGACTAAACATTCAAACTGTTAAGAATTACAATACATAACATTAATGCAAAATATTGTTTAGATATTAATTTATAATAAAAATAATATAATTTGCAGTCTCGCACAAGATCGGATCAAAAATTTTTGGTCGTTGATGTTCATTCTATCAAAGCTCGTGGAGTTTGGCGACACAGTGTTCATCATACTACGAAAGCAGCCGTTGATGTTTCTACATTGGTACCATCACGTAACAGTTCTTCTTTACGCGTGGTTATGTTTCATAGAGGATACTGCTTACTCCAGATGGAACGGCACAATAAACTTTTTCATTCACTCCTGGATGTATTCATATTATACTCTGAAAGCAATGCGATTCAATCCACCGAAATGGGTAACTATGACGATCACCACGCTACAGATCGTGCAAATGATTTGGGGTTGTTTCATAACTATTATAGCTTATAATTATGCAAGAAGCGGTGAAGTTGAATGTTCTGTTACGCTGCATAACGCTCAAATCGGTCTACTGATATACTTTAGTTATTTAATTCTCTTTGTTAGATTTTTCATACAGAGTTACTTGCTCAAGAAACATGAAAAAAAAGTGAATAAAAGTGAGAAGAAAAGTGAGATTGACGATGGGCTCAAAGTTGACTGAGGCACGTACAAATTTTGTGAAACTTTTTTGAAGAATATTCACCAGTGGCGTACCTTGAAAATACTTTGTTTTCTATAAATATTTGAATTGTAATAAATATTTATTACAATATTTATTAATATTTAATATAATAATACAATTGCATATAATAAATATTGTTTGGACTATATTTGAGAATAACTAGATTGATTTTAATACATTGGATGGATGTTATAATTATAGATAATACAGTTGATTCTCAGCATCCTTGAAATCTTAGAAACTTTCTTTCGTCCAACAATTTCTAAAAAGAAAGAAGAACAAGTGATTTATTTGACAATATTTAAACCAACTTCGGGGCCTGATACAAGCCACGTAATCGAACAGTCTAAAATTCCATAAAGAAATAATACAGTTCTTTTATTATCCAGCTACTCTATCCATTTGCAAGATGTACTGTGTGACAACTTCATAAGTTTCGTCTATGTATTCCACTTTTTGCGCAATTTCTGTCTAAAAAAAATGCTCACGACATGTGACTTTAGTTGTT